CCCGCAGCATGGCCGGATCGAACTACCGTTGTGTGATCATTTGCTACTAAGCAGTGCATTCGTGTTTTTATTTGAAACTTCTGTTAGAATATACTTTTCGTTACCAAGAAAATTAAAAAAATAAATGCATATTACATTAAAAATACTGAGTATTTTTTGTATCATGTGGAATTATTTTTTGATTGACTGTAATTTTTCAACATTTCGTAACGCCTATTTTAGAACCAAAATAAGGCCTTTCACTCTTCCCCGACGCCTATTCAAGAGATTGTACGGTGTATTGTTTGTTTTGTGCATGTGTTGTGGACAAAAAATGACCACGCCCATTTAGTGATTGCAATATGTACGTAATAGAAACCGCACCCCGAACTTGAGCTTTTGATCCCAATTTTTAAATTGATACATTGTAATATAAACCGCGGTTTATAATAGGACTTTAACGGTACTATCTAATTCTCAATTAATTCTATTTGGAAGAGTCACAGAGACTCATTAACAATATTAGGAAGGGAAGCCTAGACTCAATAACCATATTTGGAAGAGAAGTCTAGACTCAATAAACATATTTGGAAGGGAAGCCTAGACTCAATAAACATATTTGAATGAGTAGCCTAGACCCAATAAACATATTTGGAAGGGAAGCCTAGACTCAATAAACATATTTGAATGAGTAGCCTAGACCCAATAAACGTATTTGAAAGAGTAGCCTAGACTCAATAAACATATTTGGAAGAGAAGCCTAGAATCAATAAGCATATTTGAAAGAGTAGCCTAGACTCAATAACCATATTTGGAAGAGAAGCCTAGAATCAATAAGCATATTTGGAAAAGAAGCCTAGAATCAATAAGCATATTTGAAAGAGAAGCCTAGACTCCATAAACATATTTGGAAGAGTAGCCTAGACTCAATAACCATATTTGAAAGAGAAGCCTAGACTCAATAAGCATATTTGAAAGAGTAGCCTAGACTCCATAAACATATTTGGAAGAGTAGCCTAGACTCCATAAACATATTTGGAAGAGTAGCCTAGACTCAATAACTATATTTGAGAGAGAAGCCTAGACTCAATAAGCATATTTGAAAGAGAAGCCTAGACTCCATAAACATATTTGAAAAAGAAGCCTAAACTCAATAACCATATTTGAAACTGTATTTGTGAACTAGCTTTAACTTTATTAGCTCCGCTGTCAACTTTCTCGAGCATAGCTTATATGAGTGATGGTCTGTAATTGTCAGCATCAACTTTTTACTTTTTGACTTCTTCTTGAAAACTACAACCCTGGTTTCTTTGAAACTTGGTATATATTTAGTCCTCACTTAGATTTGTTCAATTCATTGGTATATCTTGAATTCTCTAATTTTGATGAATATTTTTGTCATTTTTGGTAAAAAGTGATATTTTTGATTACTTTAATATTATTTATATAGGTACTACAGGTGGACCTCTCGCAGATTTGTTCATTTTGTGATGATATCTTCAATTTTTCAATTGAACATTGCTAACAGCGGAGGTTGCTTGTTTAAAAGCTTGAGCCTTTTAATTTTTATTTTAAAAATTATAGCCCTTACTCGATAAGCTTTGTTGAAAATTAGTCATATGCTTATTACCATATAAAAGTGGGTATTTTTACTCTGTAATTATGTTTGGAAAAGTTGGCTGGACTTTATTATTATTTATTATTTGAAAGAGTAGCCAAGACTGTATAACAATATTTGGAAGAGGAGCCTAGACTAGTGTAACCATATTTGAAAAAGTCACTTGCACTTTATAAGCATATTGTAAAGAACTATTTTTTTTTACTGTCTCATTCTCATTTTTATAGATCTGGCTAACATATTTATTTGACTTATTATTTGACTTCACGTATACTGTATTTGCCTCATTAAAGGCACATATTAACACATTTGTACACTGAATCATCAAAATGTTATTTACTTTGACCATACAAACACCTAATAATGTAATTTACATAATTATATGCACTACTAATGGAGCAAATACAGTTATATCACTCATGTGTCATCTAATCTAATCTAATCTTGATAGAATTAAGACTACCGTACATTTTAATGTTGCTATAAATTGCTTGTAATGCATCACCTTAAATGCTTGTAATGTTTTATAGGGAGACACAGGTCCCCCTGGTCTACCAGGCATTTTTTCACCAAGTCAATCCTTTATTGGCCCATCTGATGTCATTCTGGTTTCAGTAAGTATATATAGTCCTTTTTTTTTTAACTTATTTAATACTATTATTATTGTTCCAGGGAGAACGTGGTCCACCCGGACCACCAGGAGATTCAAGACAACCTCATATAGAACCTAATTCTACATACAACGTTAAAGTAAATATTACAATGGATTTCTTCCGTTCTGCCTTGTGTAATGACTGCTCTGATGGTGTGATGGTTGCAGTTTGCTTATGCTATGCTAATTCATTGAGTTTGCAATATTGGGGTATACTCTGACTTCATCTGCAAATTCTGAAAGATCATTGATTATTGATTGTCTGTGTCTGCTCTCTATCATCTTATTGATTATCATGTGGTTTTCTGAAGTCAATCTTTGTAAATCATTTGAAAAGCATCTATTAAAATTATTACACAGATGGAGTCAGACATACCTGTAGATCTTTAATGCTATACCCCTCTTTTTCTTACAATTGCTTATTGTGTAAAATGCATTCTGTTTGCTATTGTGCATGCTTTGGTTTTAGTATTCTAATAATCGTATGTAGTATACACTTTTTCACACTATTTTTCATCCTATGGTATTTGGTATACTACGATTTTCATCCCTTTGTATCTGGTATATTCTATTCCATTGTATCTGGTATATTCCATCTTCCATTCCATTGTATCTGGTATATTCTATTCCATTGTATCTGGTATATTCCATTTTCCATTCCATTGTATCTGGTATATTCTATTCCATTGTATCTGGTATATTCCATCTTCCATTCCATTGTATCTGGTATATTCCATTTTCCATTCCATTGTATCTGGTATATTCCATTTTCCATTCCATTGTATCTGGTATATTCAATTTTCCATTCCATTATATCTGGTATATTCCATTTTCCATTGCATCTGGTATATTCCAGTTTTCATCCCTTTGTATCTGGTATATTCTATTCCATTGTATCTGGTATATTCCATCTTCCATTCCATTGTATCTGGTATATTCCAGTTTTCATCCCTTTGTATCTGGTATAATCCAGTTTTCATTCCATTGTATCTGGTATATTCCATTTTCCATTCCATTGTATCTGGTATATTCCATTTTCCATTCCATTGTATCTGGTATATTCCATTTTCCATTCTATTGTATCTGGTATATTCCTTTTTCCATCCCATTGTATCTGGTATATTCCATTGTCCATTCCATTATATCTGGTATATTCCTTTTTCCATTTCATTATATTTTCTATTCCATTATATCTGGTATATGACCATTTTCATCCCATTATATCTGGTATACTACAGTTTCGGTCCCATTGAATCTTATATATTCCAGTTTTGATCCCATTTTATCTTATATATTCTAGTTTTGATCCCATTTTATCTTGTATATTAGTATATAATTTCCATCCCACCTTGTATAGCCATGGTGATCTAGTTAACGCATCACTAATCTTGTAGTCTAGTTCTTTTAATATTGCTCTGATGCATTTTACTTATGCAGTAACTATTTAGTTTTAGTTTTCTTGATGAAAAAAGTTTTCTTATATAATAGTATGATATTCCTATGAAATTTTGCTATGCATCCCATATAATCACAAATATAGTACAAATCATACATGTTAACCATTTTACACTGCAATACTTTCAGGGAGCCATGGGAGAGCCAGGTGATAAGGTAAGTTAATGAAATAGTCTTTCTCATCTTTGATCATTCAGCAAAATATTAAATATGGTAGTCAGTGATAACCTGGTGTTTTAGTTCTCATTCCGTCTTCATTCATAGAAGTCTATTTTTCTTACATATTTTATTTTATTTGAATTGTTTAGCTAAAGTTGGTTAAAGTTTGGCTGACTGACATCCATATTTGTGTGAACAAATCATGTCTTTTATTTTGCTACTACATTCTTCTCAACCGCTGAATATAATCCAAGCTTTTGTGAATTTTGTTTCTAGGGTGATAAAGGATTCCCAGGAATGATTGGAATGAAAGGTTCAATGGGATCTAAAGTAAGTATTATATAAACTGAATATCATGATATCATCCACAAATTGGGATTGCTTTTCTATTTAATGCTGTATAATATGTTTTGTTTTCTAGGGTTCACCAGGATTCAAAGGTTCGATTGGTAAAAAAGGAGAACAGGGCCCAATTGGTCCTCCGGTATGTAATTTCACAACTACTGCAGTGTGGTCTTAATAGAAAAAATTAATCTATTAATATGATGTGGAAATTGTTTTTTTGTTAGCCAAGATTTTGTTTAGCTGAGTTTTAATATAACTGTTAAAACAAATTTGTATTGTCAGGGTAAAAGAGGTAAAGATGGTCCTGCTGGTCGTTTTGGTTCGCCAGGTGAAAAAGGGCAACCTGGAATCCCAGGTTTGCCTGGTTCTCCTGGTTTATCGGTGAGTCTCGTTCAATAGTTATTATAGCATTGCGTGTTTGCCAGTTTGTGATTACAATTACTTAAGTGTATGGTTTTTTTTGGACATTATAATTTCATTACATTATATTGTTATCCTCCTCAATCCATTGCTCAGTCAAAATACTACTGAGTTATATTGTCTTTTCCATTCATAGATTCTCTGAACTCTATTTGTGCTACAAACCTGGCTATAGAACACTAGTTTGTTAGCACTTGAGTAATGGGGAAAGTGGTCAGCATGTTCACCTCTCACCAGAACGGTTGTGGGGTCTATTTCCAGAGCTGTTTGTTTATAGTATGAATCAGTGGGCAGTCTGCCATCCAGACAAAGTGATAGTGAAATATTATTTTTTTTAAAAATAATGATTAGTTAAATATGTAACAATGCTTTTCATACAGGGTCCAAAAGGCGACACTGGTCCAAGAGGAAGAAATGGTTTACAGGGACCACCAGTAAGTTACAGTCATTCCAAGAGATTATGTTTATTTCACAAATTAGCCATCCAATATTCAATATGCATTTACATCCATTGACAGTAAACAACGATATTATGCATATGGCACCAAAAACAATACCGTACTTCCCCGAGTATAAGCCTACCCCTCCGTTTTTGGACATTTAACGAGTTGAGGGCATCCCCGAGTATAAGCCTAGGGTGTTTTTACCGGGCGTCAACTACATTTATTAAAATATACATGTAAAAAGTGTATTTCATTGCAAAAAAATTATGATTGGTACGGTAGTTTGGTTCCAGTTTTTAAGAGAAAACTTGCATTAATTACAGAGTGCACGGTGGGTGAACGTACGTGACGGAACATAGTTCGCACGTTTTCTATTTTGTTATTTAGTCGTGAAACCTGGTCACTGATCATCATTTTCATTTTCCGAAAATAATCTTGTCTATTGAGACTATCGTGAATGGAGTGTGATCGACTCAACTTGTTGGCGGCCGTGAAAGGTGTGAATACTTCCCTCACCCTCAGTTTTACCTTACCAAAATTGTGAATCAACAACTTTTAGGAAAAAACCACCGTTTTTTGTCGAAAACAGATCACATTTTAACATCGCGGTAATTCACTTCCGCATTGCGTTGAGAAAAATACTTTGTCAATAATCAAAAAACTTTGACTGTATGACACAGCATTTTTATTGGTTAACAAAAGACGTGACCTGTAGGTCAAAGGAAGTTGTTCAGGTCAAATTATGATGAAACCATGGCGGAAATAGCTTTGTATCGAGAGTTTGCGTACGATCTTGCCTTCAACCGTTTACCCACAGACCCGACCCATTTTTGTACCGTAAATTCAGACGGTATGTAAATCGTATTGTAATAAAATGTTTGTATTTTTATGAACATGTTTGTTTCTTCATTGTAAAAAGTGTTGTTGAAATCAATGACGACTCGTTTCGTTTTTTTCCTCAAAAAAGACGTAATATTCTTCTATGACCGGCGATGTGAACGGAAAATGTAATTTGGATAATGTTTCGAGGTTGAGAAGATGGTTACAGTTTTAAACGCACCAAAAATTTATTTTTTCTGAGGTGGTCCTCGAGTATAAGCCCACCCCTTATTTTTCCCGATTTTACATGTTCAGACCCCTGGGCTTATACTCAGGGAAGTACGGTAGAATTTGTTTGTTCGTCATTAAAACGTTTTTGAATGTCCAAGTGATTTTAAAAATGCAAATCATTTTTATGTTGCATTTGAACATTTTCTGCAGTAACAATGTAGCATGCGACTGAAATGGAATCACATCACATCACAACACTCGGGCAGTGCAAGATCCCATTAACCTTTGCTATGCAACATTTGATACGACTATCAAACTGCCTTAGTGAAAACTTTGCAATATTCACCTCATATTTATTACTATAAACACTCCAAAATTTTGACCACTTTTAAATAATTGCCTTTGGAAAATTGTCGAGTTTTTAGAATACAAAAATAGCGATAAATTTTCGGCCAGTTGAATTTTTTAGAGTGGGAAATCAACAAATATAACAGTTGGATTATATACAGTTGCAGAAATAGAAAAGTTATAGAAAGTCATGTCTCTAAACAAATTTTTTGAATAAAAATAAGTGATAAATTTTGGAGAATTTGGTTGAATTTTTAGAGTGGGTGACATTTTTTTACGGTATACTTAATTTATATTTTTGACTCAACAAAACTAACAAAATAGCCGTAAATGTGATATGTTGTCTATTGTTTGTTTGTTATTTCAACAATGTAATATAATTTTATTTTTACTTATAGGGTGATCCTGGTAATGGTGATGGTATTGGTGATCCTGGTCCACCTGGTCCTCAAGGACGAGATGGCGAACCAGGTCGTCCAGGCTTACCTGGTATGAAAGGTTTTCAAGGTCAGTCCAATGTGGTTTTTTCAGTTACCATTCTAATGAAAACAGGAACTTGTGGATTGACCTCTGCGTGTCCATCTGTGTGTTTGCACCTGTGTTGCATATGCCTGGTCCAATCACATTCAAACTTTACACGTACATCATACTACTTGTGAGACATGTGCACATATATTCATTTCACAATCTAATTTAAGATGTTTTACTTAAGGTAGAGATGCAGTTTACCTGACAGGTATTTTAATTAGTTAATTAAGCAACCAAGATGACAACAAAACTATATATTTTCAGAAAGCTTATCGTATGAATTTTAAAATGTTGTAAGTATTTTTTATTTATGGACACTGTGGTTTGAAATATGCACAAAAATGTGTTTTTTTTTATCAAAAGTGATTTTTTAATTATGTTATTTTTAATTAGCTTCTAAACCATGCCTCTGTTTCCTGTCAAAATTGGTTTACAGGTACATCTGTTTACTACAAAGAAAGTGCCGTCTTGAAAACTGTCTACCAGTTGTCAATTTTGCTGGGCAGCAGCTCAAATTTCACTAATTCAAGTTTATGCATAAATTAACACCCAGGCTAGTTGTCTGTGCGATTGTTGTAACACTGTTCAACCAAAAACCATGCCCAAATGGCGTTTTGAAGATAAACACATTGTCAATCATTTGTGAAAATTTCAAAAGAAAAGGTCAAAGCGTTTAGGAGCTATTTTATTTTTAAAGTTCTGGGATGTGCACTAAAAAGAAGCTGAGATAATTGCTAATTTGCATATTTTATAGTAAAAATATATGCTGATTTACATCGCCATTGGATTTAACAGAGTTCCACTAATGATTTTAATTTCAAATTTTCACAGAATACAGATGTTCATACAATGCCATCAAAAATAAAAAAAAGTGAAATTTGTCAAAATTTGCAAAATAAACTGCATCTCTACCTTAATTGTATGTCTAGCCGCCATCAATAATTTAATTTTCAACATCTTCTCAGAAACTGCTACTCAGAATGGTTTCAAATTTGGTATTCAAGTACCGTTAAAGTCCTAATATAAACCGCATACGTAATAGTAACCGCACCCCCAATTCCGGCTTCAGGGTTGAAGAGTTCTTAACAAAAATTGAAAACTTGAAAAGTACCTATTACTAACCGCACCCCCAATTCAACAAGACCGAGACTGACTTCATTGTTTCAACCAGCTGGTCCAAAACGGCATCGTTCCTAAACCTATTCATTTGTTTCGACAACGTGCTTAAAAATATTCACACCTATT